AGTGTCAGTGGCATATTTGAAGTGTTTTCCTTGCTCCTTACCTGTGGGAAAGCTTGAACCTCATTATAGAAGAAATTTCTCTTTAAATTCAACTCTATGTACTTGATTTACCTAACCCCATGCTGGTAGGAAGAAGAACCAATTTTTCCTGAGCTGGTTGTATAAGTCACCCCCATGGAAAGCAAAGAGCCCTTGTGGATTGGGGGAGTTTGCATACTAAGGGGCTACAGAAGCCTTCACATACCATTTCAAAAGGACCCTCCACAACCTCCCAAGGGGCCTCTTTATCAATGTGGCGTGATTACTTGCAAGTACATTTTAGTCAGAATACAGATTTTTTTTGGGTACTGGGGATCAAACTCATGACCTTGCACTTGCCAGGCAGGTGCTTATGCCACTGAGCTAAATCCCTGGCCCTCAGAATATTTTTTTCGAGACAGATATTACTATGCAGCTCAGGTTGGCCTTAAACTTACTATTGCAGCCTGCACTGGTCTCAAACTCACAGCAATCCTCCTGCCTGAGCCTCTTGAGTGCTGGGATTACAGGCATGTGCCACCATGCCTGGCTAGGATATGGAAATTTTTAAAGAAAATTTTATTTTGCTAAGTTTAAAAGGTTTTACAATGAATTTCATTTTAGGGGTATTACTTTATTCCCTTGGCTCAATTTGCCATTTAGGGTTTTCTCCATGGTCTTGTCTTTATGGGCAGGATGCTCATGGACTCTAGGGTATATGATAGTGTGAGTAGGTGTTCTAGGCTTCTGGTCCCTCATTTATGAGAACTAGGTGACTTGAGGTACACAGTATGATTGTTTCATGGGTTTTGAAGGATTGTCTGAGATAAAATGCCAACCAACTGGAATGCTCTCCAAAGCTAGTATCAGGGAAATGCAGTCCTTCTGAGGACTTGTGCTGAGAGACAGTTTCTTTCTGTGTGCATGGCCTGCTAAATGGATGGTTAGAAATGGAACAAAAAAGACTGGAGAAACTTTTACTATGCCCAGCAGAATTCAGAGTATTAAAAAAAAAATACCAAGATCCCAAGTCGATCACAATCCAAGTCCCATCCTTGGTGTCATTCAGTCCTGCCCCACGCATGTGCTATGCACGGTTCTTGGACCATAGGTCCATTTTTACAACACTATCTGCTTCTGGATAAAGGGATCACATAAATCTGGAGACTGAAGTGCTCTGTTGCAATCCACCAGGTGTCCATTCACTTGTAACCCAAAGTTACCTCCGCTGAATGGCCTGAATTTGTACGTTTACTCCCTGCAGTGTGGCCAGTGGGAATGCAGAATGGTGCAACTGCTTTGGAAAATGATGGTTTTAAGTGCTGAACATGGGGTTACCATGTGACCCCGTAAGCCTGCTCTTTGGTACATGTGCAAGAGGGATGAAAACATCTCCACACAAGAGCTTGCATGTGAATGTTCAGAGCAGCGTCTTTCACAGTAGCCAACAAGTGGAATCAACTGATAAAGGAATAAGTAATGGAAATTGTTCATTCATAAATAGCAACGAAGTATTAACATATGCATCAGCACCTGTGCACCTCTAACACTATTATATAGAGACAGGCATGGCGGTTGCACACTTGTAATCCCAGCACTCAGGAGGCTGAGGCAGGAGACTTACTGTAAATTCAAGGCCAGCCTGAGCTACATGGTAAATTTAAGGTTAGCTTGCAGGAGGTAGTGAGATTTCGTCATTTAAAAAATCTATTACATATATTTTAAAAAAGCAAGTCATAGAATAACACATATGGTATGATCTAAGGCCCCACCTCCTAATGCCATCAGCTATAGTGCAACTATTGTTCAGTCAGCTTCTAAAGGTCAGGGGACATCTAGATGTAAACAACAACAGGGTACCACAATCACTTTCCATGAATGAAATTGCTAAAATTCTGGGGGGAAATCTTTGAAGTAAATTTACTGACAGCCCTTCCACGTGAACAGAGCTATGTTCCTACCGGATGCAGGACATACACTGTTGCCCAGTGTATTTCTGCGATGGCCCTCGCACTTGTAGAGCGTGAAATTCCCAGTTGCTCCAGATCAATGACAGATCAGGGTCATTGCCTTCTTGGTTTTGGCTCTCTGATGGGCAGATGCTTTCATCTCCTAAATTGCTTTTCCCTGGTACCTCATATGCCACTGGCCTTTGGGTATCTTCGTCTGAGGAATGTCCAACTCACTTCCCATTGAATTATCTGCCCTGTTTTAAATTGATTTGTGACAGTTCTTTATATATTCTGAAAATGAGTCCCTATGCAGATACACTAATAGTTTTCTTTTAGACCATATTTAAGTCCCCAAATTTAACTTGTTCAAGTGTTTGTCATGATCAAAATGAGTAAGCAAACGTAATTTTATTCAGTTCTCTTATATTTATCAAGTAGGAATGCAACTTTTAATATTTTGGTATAAAAATCTTACACAGAAAGACTTCTTAGGGCTGGTTTAACACCTGGCTTTTCTTTTGTGGACTCCAGGAGCCTCTTAGAAGATGGCCTTTCTAGTCTCTCTCTTCAAGGTCACTCTGTCCTATGGGTCCATGACGCCTCTACAAGTTCTACCCTGGGATGGAAAGAAATCCCAGCTTCCTGAGGCAGAGTCTATTTATGCATCTTCTGTGTGTGTGTGTGTGTGTGTGTGTGTGCGCGCGCGCGCGCGCGCGTGCGTGTGTGTGTGAGATCTTGTAGTCCTGATTTACAGAAAGGAGCAGAGGAGACGTCAGGTTCAGAAGCCAGGAAACTGTCGCCACCTCCAATGACAGGAAGGGCTGTTGCGGAGCGCCCCCTCGTGGACATCTGATGCAACCACAGGCAGCGAACAGTTCTGCACGAAGGTGCACTGAGGCTTCTGGGGCTGCGAGCAGAGCTGGCACCCTGGCTCTGGCCTTGGGCCAGGCCAGTATGCGGCAGACACTTCCCATGTCACATGTCAGGTGGCATTGCCGGCCAGAGTACCGCAGGAGTGCAGTGGACCCGGGCCTGGGCCACCTTAACAACCATGGCTCTAACCATCTCCTGACCATTTCCTTTCTCCCTGGGCGCTGTGGAAGCCAAGCCTATCTGAATCAGAGCTGCTCCCCCACAGAGCCAGAGCGGGTGATTCCTGCCCTTTCCACTCGAGGTTTGGAGGATGCCCCCGCATCTCTACTTTCTCCCAAGCCTACCTCCCTTTGTTTCACCATTCCAGTCCCAAAGCCAGCAAAGCCAAGCAGTTCCTGTTTCGGTGAGTGGCCCTGCCCTTGTCTCTTCATTCAGACTTTGACCTGAGGTTGTTTCCCTGGTTCAGCACACACATACACACACACTCTTCATCAGAGGAGAGAAAGTTCTGGAAGCTTTTTTCTTTTTGAAGTACTGGAAATTGAACCAGGGTGTCATGCTTGCCTCTTACCACAGAGTAAGGTCTCCAGGTCTTTTTTTTTTTTTTTTTGAGACAGTCTTGCCAAATTGCTTATGCTGGCCTTAAACTTGTGATCCTCCTGCCTCAGCTTTCCAACTAGCTGGATTTACAGGCTTGTGTCACTGCCTCTCACCTCTCTCTCTCTCTCTCTCTCTCTCTCTCTCTCTCAAAGAAATTTGCTGGCAGTAGTAGGCGGTGGCTCTGTGAAGGGAAGAAAACAAGTCAGTATTAGACCTGTGAGGGGTTCAAGGCAGCGCTGGGGGACAGGGCAACCTGGATGAGCACAGGCTGTTAAAAAATAAGGGTGGGTAAGCCAGGCTTCCCAAGTCAAGGAGCTTCACATCCACTAGAGGAGAAATGGCACGAACACAAATAAATACAAAGCATCATACTTTAGGCAGCAGAGTTTTTCTAAGATGAAAACCCAGATGAATTAGGGTCGAAGATCACACTGTAAGACAGGATCCTGGTACTGAACTTGGTGAAGGGAGTAGAGAGCTTGGGGTCCCCTCTCACTTTCATTGCCACCAGATAAGCAGAATCCCTGAAATTCCTTCCTTTTGGCTTCTTTTCGGTTCAACACACATGACTTTGCCAATTATGCACACATTAGACAGTTTTTCTCAGTAACGCCACCCATGATAAATGGATGTCCCTGCATAGTAATGAAGGAGGAACCTGGAGAAAGACCTCAAATCCGTGGAAGCAAGAGCTCAAGCTTTGGAGAGAACATCTCAGCTTGACATTGAACAATGGACCCCATGGAGAGAGGAGGAGGGCATGAGGGCAGTCTCGGGATTGGACAGGATGTGCAGAGCCACAGAAACAAGGCGCTGGTCCTGGTCTCAAGGTTGTACACCGTGACGGTATCATTAATGAAAACAAGATTAGAAAGGAACCACATTGCAGCCGCAGGCTCGGTGGACACAGGACCATACTCAAGGGGGCACTAACGGTTATCAAAGACTTTCTGGGAACAACTTCCCCTGCCCATTTTCCCTGGGAATCTCCACCACGGGACCTCTCCGTGTGTAGGGTCCAGAATGGAGCGTTCAGTTAATAAAGGAGACAACGAAAGTGACCGAGCTTCAGTATCTTCAGGTGCAACACCTAGGTTTGTAGGGAGGCCGGGTGGTTAGATTGCAGGTGCTGCAGCTGCAGGAAGAAGAGCGGAACCCTGCTCCGCCGTTTACTAGCGGTGTGGACCTCCGAAGCCGCCAGTCCTTAGCTTCCAAGCTCAGGTTCTCTTTGGTGAGATGGTTGTGGTCCCTACCTCAGCCAGGTAACGTGAGGTTAGCAGAAGCAAGAAATATAAACTACACAATCAAGTCGTGGTACACAGGAAGAACTCAATAAATATTAGTCATCATAATGGCTAAGATACTGCAAAGACCCATATGATCTGTTCCTAAAAGAGTTGCTTTGCTGTTTTGGCTACCATAGTGCAAATAAACGACACTGGCATTGAACTACTTTAGTTAGAGCCAACCCAGGATGGCCCCGCTGGCAAGCGGACAGGCCCCGCCCACTCCGCGACTCTCAGGCCCCGCCCCCATGTCCTTCCTCGGCCCCGCCCATACGCGCTTGCGCAGTGCGTGTGTGCAGCGGCCTCTGGCCAAGGCGATGAAGGTTCTGTGGCGCTACTGGTGGAGACCTGGGATGGGCCGCGGCGCCGCGGGCGGGACAGCGATCCCTCAGCGGTGGGTCGTGACCCGGCTCGGCGGCTGTCTTGACTGGGAGGACAGAAAGGACGCCCGAGGTCGCGACAAGCCGCCCTGGCGGGTGCTCTTCTTCGGCACAGACCAGTTCGCCCGGGAGGCTCTGCGCGCGCTCCACGCCGCCAGGTACCCGGGCCGGGCTGGGCCCCGGGCTGCAGGCGCGGCCGAGCCTGGGCCATCGGGTTGCGGACAGGCGGCGTGAGCCGGGCTAGGTGTCTCAGCGCACACCTTCCAATTGGCCCTGGGGCGCCGGGTCTGCGCCCACGCCTGCCCGGTCAGTCCCACCCCCTTGCCCCGACTGGCTTGCAGGTGTGGAGCCCGGGGTTCACAGGTCACCTCGCTGCCCAAGGTCATCAGCTGGGACTAAAACCAGCTCCGATTTCCAAGCTCCCTCTTTTCCAACGCTTCCTGCTTCTCCAGCCTTCCGGTGTGTGGATCCCAGGCCTTGCTCGTGTGCTTCCCGGATGTGCGGGTCCCCTGCACATCTGTGCCTGCACCTCCTGGTCTACGCTGGACTCAGCTTTTCCGACCTGGAACACCTTTCACAACAAGGGGCCTGTGCACTCTCTTTGCACCTTGCTACTTTAAATGTACATTTCTTCTGATGAGTCACTTGGCAGCACAATTAACCATACCTTTCTTTTAATGCCCTGATGCACAGTCCTTTTCTCCTAAGTCTTCAGCGTGTACGTGCAATACCCATTTACTAAATAAACATGCAGCCCTGCACATGAGGCTGTAGCTCAGTGTCAGAGTGTGAGACTGCCCTGGGTTTGATCTCTAGCACAATGAATGAAGGAATGAGTGAGTGAATGTACAGCCCCCCCGCCACCAAAATACTGTGCAGCAGGTGAAGTGAACGAGGTGTGCTAAAACTGCTACCACAGAAAGATGCCTATGTACCTTTGTTTTTTAAAAAGTGTTTAGGGGTCAGAGGTTTGCTCAGTGTTACAGAGCTTGCCTGGCCTGATGCAGGCCCTGGGTCCAATCACCATCACTGCAGAAAACAAAAAAGTAGGTGTTACCTGTGTTACAAAACTTCAGTGATTCAAAGCACAAGGAGTTTAGAGTTGTTTTCTTCCATCTCTGGCTTCCATTTCCCAATTCTGTCTAGAAACAGTCATTGATTTCAGTTTCTTATTCTTCGAGAACTGTTCGGGGCATGTATAAGCATTTGGATACTTACCACATTTTTTAAAGGTTCCTGTCGTAACATATATACCATTATTAAGAATAATAACCAAAACATGCCAAAGCATCGTTACAACATCCCACATGTATAAAATAACTGCTGTTTATGTTTTTGTATGCATAGGATATCTCTGAAACAGTACTGTCCAAATGGTAGCCAGTGGGCATATTTAGCACTTGAAACTTAAAACTAAATGAAAACCCAGTGATTTAAGAGGCTAATGAAGGAGGGTTAGTTGGTGAAAAATTTAGTGAGATTTAGTCACAAAATAAAAAGGCACTAAGGGTTTAGTTCACTGGTAGGGTGCTTTTTTAGCATTTAGGAGGTCCTGGGTTCAAGCCTCAGTGTTACTGGGGGACGGGTGTATTAAAAAGTAAAAGCTGCACTGGTTTTCGTCATTTAGCCCTAGATACTTCATGAGTTTAACCTATAAAAATGTCTTAACACTGACATGTTTTCCTTCCAATCTTTCTCACTTAGGGAAAACAGAGAGGAAAAGTTGATTGAAAAACTGGAGGTGGTCACAGTGCCGTCGCCGTCACCCAGAGGCCTGCCAGTGAAGCAGTATGCTGTGCAGTCCCAGCTTCCAGTGTTTGAGTGGCCGAATGTGGGCCCTGGAGAATATGACGTAGGAGTGGTGGCTTCCTTTGGCCGACTTTTGAGTGAGGCTCTTATTCTTAAATTTCCCTAGTAAGTTGTACTTGTAAGGAAAGAGTATAAAGACCTTGTTCTTTATAAATGGACCCAGTGTCTAAAATGCCACAATTTGAACTCAAGTATGTTTCCTTTAGTCTTTTAAAATAAATATCATTCTCAATGGGCTTTTACCTACCCACATTTAAATTCTGTATCTGTGTGCTGACAACTCCCTTCAGCTCAGCCTAGTTCCCACACCTCCATAGCCCAGTGTTTTGTTTTGTTTTTGTCTTTTTGAGACAAGGTCTCACTGTGCAGTTCAGGCTGGCCTTGAGCTCACTCTGTAGCCCAGGCCGGTCTCAAACTTGGAACAGTTCTCCTGCCTCAGCCTCCTGCGTGTTGGAATTGCAGGCATGTGCCACCACGCCCAGCTACCTGTAGCTCGGGTTTGATGTCCAACAGGCACCTTACATTCAAGTGTCCAAAACTTCCCAAAACTTTGCCTCAGTAAATGACGGCTGCCTTGGTTCACACCACTCCAGCCACACTGGTTTCCTTGTGCCTTGAATTGGTTGAGCATTTGTCTTCCTCCAGAGCTTTGTATTGATTTTCCTGATGCCTGGAAAACTTTTTTCCAATAGCCATTGTGTGCCACATAATGATACTTTAGTTAATAACAGGCTGCATATCTGGCATTGGTGCCATTAGATTCTGTGGGATGTCGTGGCCATCTGAGTTCGTGTAACTGCATGCTCTGATCATCACGCAACCAAATCCTCCTGCCACGTGTGTCCCCTGGGTTAAGCAATTGCTGACTGTCTGTGGTGTTTATTCTCTACCTCCTTCGGGTTTTTGCTCAGTTTCTTGTTGGTAAAAGCCACTTAGACTGCGATTGAAATTATAATCGCTCTCCGTCACTTCTGTCCCCTTCTCTGCTTTATTTTTCTCCACAGGCCTCAGCACCATCTGACAGACTTCCCCCGCCTGGCAGTTTGTTTTTTATTGCTCCTGCCCTGCCCTTTGCATATGAACTCCCCAGGAGCAAGAATTGAAGTGATGGAGATTATGTGACTGAACTACTGCATAAATATAATTTGCTTTGTCTGTGAGGTGCATATGAAAATTTGAATAGTTTTCAAAATAGTAATAAATGCATTTTAGAATTGTATCTTAACACCAGGCATAAGTTGCCAAAGCATCTTTGGAACACCAATAGTTGCCCTTGCTCTGTTTTTAATCGGGCATCCTGAGTTTCTTATGGTAAGAATACGTTTACCTCTGACCTTTTCTTTCAGGTGATATAGTACTAGATGGAGCTGTCGGCTTGATGAAATTTCTGGGAAAGTCTAATGCAAAGTAGTGCATTAGTGTAGGTAGCAGGAACTGCATGGCAAAGCCCATGCTGATGTACAGGTTTCTGTGTTTTACGACCCAGCGGCGTATTGAACGTCCATCCGAGCTGCCTCCCAAGGTGGCGGGGCCCGGCTCCCATCATCCACACCGTGCTCCACGGAGATCCCGTTACCGGCGTAACCATCATGCAAATCAGACCAAAAAGGTAGAGTGTATTTTCTTTCTTGAGAATTTTTTTTTTTTGGTTCCAGGGATCGAACTCACTACCTCACACTTGTGACACTAGGCTATACCCCCAGCCCTTTTTCTTGAGATTTTTTAAAAAATACTGGTAACAGTCTGTTTGGGGTATGTTTGGGGAAATGAGGGAAGGGACAGTGCTCAATAATCTTTGTCACTGTGGAGCAGTTCCTTTGCACCTATTTATTTATCTCATGGCACTGGGGATTGAATCCAGGGTCCTTAGACCAAGCAACATTCATACCCCTTTGTAAAAATAAATTCCTTTTTTTGAGGCAGGGTCTTGCTGAATTGCCCAGCTAGGCTCAAACTTGCAGTCTTCCGGCCTCAGCCCTCTGGAGTACTGGGACTGTAGGCATGTGCCTTCATGCCAGCTTCCTTTGCTTTGATACAACTTTGTTCTTGGTTTCTAATGTAAGCCTTATGTCTCTTGGTATATATGAGATATCTGTTTAACGTTTTTCTGGACTTCCTAATTTGTCAGTTGAAATATATTATCAACAACTGAATTTCTGTAAAGGACATTATGTAAACGACAGATTTCTATATGTTTATATTTTGAATCTCAGTTCTACTAACTTTGGTTTATAATTGTGGTTTTTTTTGATTTTTGTTTTTTGGTGGTGTTTTTTTTTTTGTCTTTTTCCTTTTTATCGATACCAGGGATCGAACTCACGACTGCCTGCTTGCAAGGCAGGCGCTTATGCCGCTGAGCTAAATCCCTAGCCCCAGTTTTTTGTTTTTTGTGGAGTTTTTTTTTTTTTTTGGTATCGGGAATCAAATTAAGGACCTTGTGCTTTCCAGGCAGGCACTTGTACCACTGAGCTACATCCCCAGCACCTTGGTTGTAAGTTTAAAAAACATTTTGGAGCCTAAAGGAATCATATGCTATTGTGTATAATGTGTAATATAATTGTCCTAAACATTGCTAATTTTTTTCTCTACATTTTAGAAAAAATTATTTAAAATAATTTGAGGAGTTTGGCTTAGTTACTTTTTTTGTTGTTGAGATAAAATACCCAACACCCAAAGTTAAAGGAGGAAAAGTTTATTTGATTCACAGTTTGTGAAGGTTTCAGTTCATAGTCAGCTGGCTCCAAGGCAGGGTGGCACATGGCACAGGAACAGCACAGAGAATAAACCGGCCACGGCAGAGCAGGGAGGAGACAACAAAGCGTGAAGCAGCCAAGTAGCTTCTTTCTGTCCCTTTATATTCCATCCAGTAGATTTGTGTTTTGGGTGGTGTCATCCAAGAGTGGGGCACCCCGGAGTGGGGTACCCTGAATGCTAGCATCACAGTTTAATCCCAGCATCACATACTCTAGATCCAGCTACCTCCCCAAACTCACACCTGTGATCACATGAGGCTTTGAGGGGAACATCTGAATACAAGCCACTGCAGAGTTAACACTAAATTTCTGCCTGTTGATGTCCCCAGAGAAAAGAATAATTTATGAGTTCACATGAACAACATGAAATTTACTTTGGAAAAAGGTGGGAGCAGTTCAAATACAGTGGCACATGCCTATAATTCCACTATCTAGGCGACTGAGGCAGGACAGTCACAAATTGGAACCCAGACTGGGCAGTTTAGTAAAATTCTGCCTCAAAATAAAAGTAAAAGAGGCCTTAGTGATAGAGAACTTGCCTGGCATGTGTGAGCCTCTGGATTCAGTTCCTAACACTGCAAAAAGAAAAAGAGAGAGAGTAGATGAAACAACAGTAGCAAAATTTTGGTACTTCTAAAATCTGTCAGAACTGGCTGATTCAGGCTGAGGATGTGGCTCAGTGGGCTAGCTCTTGGCTTCTATCACAAGGCCCTGGGTTTGCTCCTCAGCACAACAACAACAACAAAAACCAAGAAAAACAAAACTGGCTGATTTCCCAGGTGTGCTGTGTGCACATAGTCCCAGCTACTCAGGAGGCAGGAAGATCGGTTGATGTCACGAGTTCCAGACCAGCCTGGGCAACTTAGACTGTCTCTAAAAACACAAATTCACTGGCATAAAATACAAATGAAAACCACAAGGTTAAACTTTTTAAGCGAGGTATATTTCTAATGAAGGCTTATGGTCAACCTTTACAAAGCTCGCTGTAAGATTGATGGACATGCAAATACACTTGTGTCTGCTTATAGTCTCCAGTGGTTATCATCCATGCACAACTCTTGTCCATTGAAGGAGAAGAAGGAGAGAAATAGCTGTTAATTTTTTAATTAGAAAATAAATTCCTTATCTATGCTTTCTGTGTACTGATAGGAATTTTTCATACTATTTGTTTACTAATGGTAGACTTACTTGTAATTGCAATTAAATTCCTGATACATGCTGTATTCTTTCTTGCTTTAAAGCCTAAGGTGCAAAGTCTAAGTATGGACATATTTGGATCTTCTGCACAACCGATAAGTAGCCTGCAATACACTATCTCAGTGCGTGTAAATAGACATGCTGATCTTATAAAATAGTAATCATGTGGGTGCAATAGTGCATGCCTATAATTGCAGCACTTGGGAGGCTGACGCAAGAGGATCACCATAAGTTCGAGCACAAGCTGGGCTATCCAGTGAGTTCTAGGCTAGCCTAAACTGCATAGTGAACCCTGTCTCAAAACAAATAATGATAAAAAAATTAGTAAAATAGTAATCATGTTATTAACCTGCTTTTGACTTTTTGCCAGGTTTGATGTAGGCCCAATTCTTAAGCAGGAAACAATCCCTGTGCCACCCAGGACCACCGCCAAGGAACTAGAAGCCATGTTGTCAAGGCTGGGCGCCAGCATGGTACATACTCTTGGTGTTCCTCTGCTTTCCGTGTGTTTCGTGTTGTGCCAAGTGGTTCTTATGAAAAGGCTACGTTGATGACCCATAATCTTCAAACTTCTTAAAAAAAAGAACATGTGGTTTCTTGTCCTTGGCTTCCTAAAAATGAGCCCAGTTCTTGTGATCTTGTGGAAATCCTTTGAGGATTTGCAGAGTGAAACCAGCAATCGTCCACTGTCTCCTCATTTCATAGTGTGGCCTGGGCGGCCTCCTACCCAGATCCCCTCTCCTCACTCTCATCGGCACCTGGTCTCCCGTCACACTGGCCTCATGGCCCCTCCCAAAGTGGCCCTTAGCTCTTCAGCCCCTTCAGCATGAGGTGCCAGCTGTTTGTATCTGTGTACCCTGGAATTCTCCAGACAAATGTGCCTACGGGTGATACCTCTGTCTGTGTCTTTGTGTAGCTCCTTGGATCTGCAAACGGGAGGCTCTGGTAAACGCTTCAGGAATGAATTTGTAGTTCAGCTTTGAGCTAGTTAATTTTATACAGTGGAAACTTTCTTTCCCCAGGATATAGACAGTACTTCCTGTTCAGGGCCCTCTCTTGGAAGTGATCTCTCACAGTGGCTGCCTTGGCTCATGTGCCAGGACCATTTCACTTTCCCTGCACACACTGGAGGAAGTTGTTGATTGTTTCAGCGATCAAGACACTGAGGGCCACAGACAAGTTAAATAATTTCCACGCTAAGACAGGTCTTAGCTGGTGGAACTGGGTTCCAAGCCCAGAGCCGTGTGACTCCAGAGTACACTGTTCAGTGAGGCTCCAGTGCCTTCCCCCATTCCCTGGGGTGCCTGGGTCACTGAGTGCAGGCTGTCCTGGTGCTGATGGCTCGCACAACCAGGCAATGTTTACTAATTGTTTACTAATGCATATGTGCAGTACCACTGGGGAGAAAATGAGTGACCTGTGCAGAAGGGGGTTGCAAGCTAGGGGTCACTTTGCAAATGGCCATGTGTCTGCTTTGTGCTGTCTATCTGACTATGCTTTCTCCCTCTTTGTAGCTTATTTCAGTTTTAAAACATTTGCCCGAAAGTCTCAACAGTGGAAGGCAACAGCCCACCGAGGGGGTGACGTATGGTGAGTACAGGCTGTGACTGAGCTCCAATGCAGAGGGCCCTTCACACAAAGGTGTCTGGATGACAGAGGCCTCTTCCCTGAGCTTCGTAGTTTGGGGCAGATCATGTGCTCATTTCCATGCTCTTTCCTGGGAACAGTTAGGAAGGTTCCCTCCCTTGCAGTAGGGAGCCTCAGCAAGGAGTTAGCGTTTTTTTTCAGGGTTTTATTTTGAAAAGTATGAAACAGAGATAAAATAAAAGGCTAGTCTAACAGACCTGAGTTTACCTCAGGCTCAGCAATTATTGTATTTGATCATATTTTCTTTTTCTGTTTGAGTTTTTGAGACAGAGTCTTGCTATGTAATTCAGGCTGGCTTTAAACTCACTGTGTAGCCCAGGTTGGCCTTGAACTCACAACGATCCTCCTGCCTCAGGCACTGGCATTACAGAATTGTGCCACCATGCCCAGCTGTGATTGTGTTTTCTGTGTACGTATTTAGTGTGTGTGTATATATATATATATATATATATATATATAAGTTTTGCATAATCATTTGCAAATTTGAGAACCTTGTATCTCTGAGTCCTTTAAGATGTGTTTTACTAAGAAAAGAAACAGTTTCCAGATAGTGGGATAATTCCCTGTCCATAGTGGTTTTTCCTCAATGTCTTCAAGTATGTTTGATAGCTGGCTTTTTTTTTTTTAAAAGGTAGGACACAAGGAATGCATTCTGAAGACTTGGAATTTGTGTTTCTCCCAGCTATAATCCTCATTAGCTCCCAATAGATACAATTTTCTTTGAAACAATTTTAAAAATAGAAAAGTGCTGACACTGTAGTTTAGCAGTAGATCACTGATATAGCTAGCATGTGCAGGGTCCTGGGTTTGATATCTCTAACATTGTCAAAAAAGTGTTTTTAATTAAAGCAGTGTTAGGTTCTAGTCATTAGTTGTTATATCTCATTTTGTCTCTAAAGTAATTATTATCTTTCCTCGTTTATGACATTTGGAGGAGACCAGGCCACTTGGCTAATTTGTTCCTTTTATGGTAGTTGACATTGTTTCCTGTCCCTTTTATTTCCTATAGATATAAATTTTAAAGGTTTAATTAGATTCAGGCTGAATGTTTTGGTAAGAATATTTTATAGATACTAATGTGGTTCAGAAATATCTGTTGTAGTTTGGGGATTGCCTTTTATTTTTCTTTACAATTTAATTTTATTTCTTGAATATGTAAAATACACACCTGATTCAAACATTAAAACTATTTAAAAGGATAAACTGAAAAGTCTTGCTTTTGCCACACAGTCTTAAAAAGGTCACTTCAGTAAGTTGTTTCAGGTGACACCATAGCTAGGGGAGCCCGATCTGACCACCAGGTATTTGTAGTGGGAAGGTATTTCCTTTTACAGTGAGCAGGCCACTGGTTGGGGAATGCTTTGGCACTGTGCAAATATCCCCATTTGGTATAATTCCATATTATTATTAAGAGTAAAGTTAAAGAGATTTAGGATTTCTTTATAATTTTTTTCATTTTCCTTAAAATGCACCCTACAAAGGGTATACAATCAAATTAGTATGAAAATCTGCTGGTGAGAATGTTTTTCCAGATAGTTTTGTTACGTAGTTTGAGATCTTGTTAGGCTTATTTATTTCAATTTGTTTCCAATTTTAAGAGTTGCTTTACCTCTTTGTGATTCACTTTGATTTTTTTGAACTGTGTAAAACAGGTACCTAGCTCAAAAATTAAGCCATGCAAAAAAGGCGCACTCAGAGACATGCCACTTGTATTTTGGATTTGTCCGATCTAGCATTTCTCCTTTCCAAAGCATTGTTTTTTATTAATTTCTGACTTTAATCTTCTAGTATTTGCTTTTGCCAACATAATGTATGTAGTTTTTTTCCTTCTTTTTTTTTCTTTTATAGAAAAGTAGCATAAAACACACGCTCTCCCCCCACTCCATCCTTTTCATGTCATAGTGTATCTTGGAGACCACTTCCTGTCCGTAAGAAGGGGTTTTCCTCCTCCTTTTTTATGGCGGCTCGTTCTCAGTTATGGTTATATCATAATTTATTGAACAGATCCTCTAAGGCTGTGCATGTGAGCTGTTTCCAATTTTTTGCTATTTCAAATACTACCGTTAAGACTAACTCTATATGTATGACCCTTCTGAGTCTAACAGGTGAGAGATGGTGTCTCAGGGTAGTTTTACTGTGCGTTATTCTTGTGACTGAAGTTGAGATCTTTCCCTATGTTTCAGGATTTTTTGTATTTCTTTTTTTCTGGGCAGAATCAGCTCAGAATCAGATTTTTTCTATCAGGGTTTTGGTCCTTCCAGTTTCTAGGAGCACTTTATATAATCCAGAAATTAGTCATCTGTGATACACTGCAAATTCTTGCAGTTTGTCCTTTGATTTTATAGTTTGTCTGTCTTGCATGCTGCCTGACCTGGACCTTGAGTCATAGTTAGAAGGACATTTTCTGCTGTCAGGTTATAGTGTGGTTCATTTTGTTTTCTTTTAGTATCTGTTTGGTTTATTTGTTTTTAACTTCTTTTTGTGGAAAATGGTAAATGTATAAAATGTTGAGAGACCGTCATAGTATCTCCTGTGCTTATTATTCAGCATCAGTATGTGTTAGTTTGTGGCTCCTGAACCTGATACTCACTCTCACTCTTGGCTTTGTCTTTAGCGCCTAAGATTTCTGCTGATACCAGCTGTATAAACTGGGAAGAACAAACTTCAGAGCAGATACTCAGACTTTATCGTGCCATTGGAAATATAGTAAGTTGAGAAGTCAGGTTGCACTTTTACTGAATGGAGTTTTTTGTGTGTAATTTGCTCTCTGAACATCTTTATTTAGAAATACATCTCATAAACTAAATATAGGAAACCTGAAATTTTTATAATCAGATTCTTTTTTTTTTTTTTTTTTTTTTTTTTGATTTTCACTACATGGCCCAGGCTGACCTTGAACTCATAATGATCCTCCTGCCCCAGCCTTCCAAATCCTGGGATTGTAGGTGTATACCACCACACCAGGCTGTAGTCAGATTCTTAAGTCATTGATTTCCACATGTGGTATACAAAGAGAAATTGTGATTTCAAAGTTTGTTAAAATATCTGTGTTAAGCCAAATAAGTGCCAGCTTGGCAAGTGTGAGGTCATGAGTTTGATCCCCAGTACCTGCCCCCCCCCCCAGTCTGCATTGAATTCTCAATTCCTTCACAGATATATTGGGTTTTTTTCCCTTTTATTTGGATAGCCACTTACATTATTTGAAACCTGGGCTGGGCTCACCAAGTGTGTGGCTTTTCATGGACATCCTCTAACATTACTAGTGTTGGGTAAAATAGAGAACTACCATTAGATGTCCATAGCATGCCAAGCTTATCAGTGAAGATTATAAATCATGTTATAGTTATTATTGTCACATTTTACAGTTGAAAAAAATTAGTCCAGTGTGGTGGTACATACCTGTAATCCCAGTCCCTTGGAGGCTGAGGCAGGAGGATCAGAAGTTTAAACCCAGCCTGGACAGTTTAGCAGTTTAGCAAGATCCTAGCAAGAAGTTAGAGTCATTCATAGCCCTTTGACATTTGGGTGATAAGAAGGTCCAGGGAGGAACAGTTGAGTGTGGGGGGCTGGGGAGTCAGTAGTTCTGTGTTGGCCGAGTTAGGTTTGAGATGTCCCTGTAGATGCTAAGCAGACCAATTCTTGAGGTGCATCTGAGCCTCACTGGAAACCTCCCGCTGTCTCTGACTTAGTACACAGTGATGCGAGCCTCGTGCAACTCCCCTTGCCCAGCCTTTGAAACACTGAGCGCTCATCTTAGAGCCCCAAGTTGGGGTTCAAGTCCTAGAGCAGGCCTTTCCTAACCAAGAGCAGGACCCTTACCTTCTCTCAGCTTCTACCTTCTCACCTCTGATGGGGCTCAGAATACATCGTCCCATCCTGGTGCTGCCCTGGGGAAACTACTGCATTTTCCTGATCCTCCCTTTCTTGATCTGTGAAATAGAGGACTGAATTACCATCCAGGAAGAAATTACTCAGTGCAAAAAGTTGAAAGATTGTGAGAACTTATATCCTGGTACAAGTTAACCCCCTTCTCTCCAGCACTGAACCCAGGGGCTTTGCACTGAGCAAATCTCCCTACCCCCTGCTTTCTTTTTTGAGACAGGGTGTCCCTAGTTATCTAGGAAGAATTCAAACTTCAGTTTTTCTGCCTCAGCCTCCCAGAGTGCTGGCTTTGCAGGCATGCACCAGCACACTCAGCTTATGTTCATCATTATGAACCTAGTTGAGTCGAGTTCTAGGATCTTGGGTTAAGTGATAAAGATGCTGTTTCACACTAGGGCCCAGGGTGAGCTAGGCTGTCCAGTACACAACACAGGACAACTGGCTAGCCAATACTGCCTCTTAAAACCCCAGGAACTGCTGTACAACAGTGTAGTTAACAATACCATATGTCTACAATTTGTTAATAGGGCACGATTCATGTTGTGTGTATTTTACCACAATAAAAAAAAATCAAAATCTAGATGGATCAAAGGTTAACTTATGAAACCACATGACTGGAAGAAAGCGTAGTTGAATAATTTTATAATACTTAATAATCTTAAAGTGTAGCAAGACCTTTTAAAGCATGACATGAACTATTTTGGTCGTGAGAGAAAAGACTGGTAACTGTAACTCCATAAAAATAAAAGGCTCATGAGTGGAAAGTAATGACTGTCCCTAAGACTCAAAGGGAAAAGTATTCATATAAGTTAGAAGGCTAATTTCCTAAATATGAAAAAGGTTTCCTTTTTTCTTTTTTTTTTTTTTGTTTTAAAACAAAAAAATGGTCAGAATTTCAAAACAAAAATAGAAGACTGACAATGGCGTATTTTTCATGTTATCTTCAAAGTAGTGCTCAGATTACAAGAACTAAGCGTGAAAAAAAGATCAAACATGAAAGCACCACTATTCTTTTTGATGAGCTAACAGAGATTAGTTGTATAATTATCTATCTTGTGTGTATTTTCCCTTCTTTGCTCCTTTCCCCCATCCTAGTTGTTCTGTTCTTTTGAGCAGTTTCTTCCCCAGAAAAGGTTTTCATAAAATGGTAAGAGCTGAACAAGCCAGTTTTTAAAAATACAGGCCTGATGACTTCTTAAATTCTGCCTAATAAACCCCCTTTGCACCTCTTAAAAATACAGGCATAAATAAGCAGATAAATATATTGAAAGTGTAATAAAATACATGACAGCCCCATTAATCAGAGAGCAACAGATTACCTTGTCAAAGCACTAGAATAGTAAGCTGTGATCCTCTCTAACCCAGGCATTCTACTTAAAGGAACAAAATTAGAAACTCCCGGGGCAGGGGATGTAGTCAGTGGTAGAGCATTTGCTGACCACACACAAAGCCCTGTTTTAGATCTCTAGCACTGGAAAAAAAATTAATTCTTCAGGAATATATAAATGTTCAAAGATATATCTATAAGGCAATTTATTGCCATGTTTTACAATTTTATAATACTAAGAAATTGGAAATTACTGAAGTATCCAATTATTAAAGAATTGGTTGTATCCAAGTGACAATGCGGTTGTAAAATGAGACACTGCTGTAGGTACAAGGTGACACAGGTAAGGTGAAATAAGTAGCAATCAGAGACTGTCCATGGCTGTGGTTAAGTAACAAAAGTCCCTTATAGAAAAATACATTCGACTCTAAGCCCAGCATTTGGGAGGCTGACGCAGGAGGATCACCACAAGTTTGAGGCCAGCCTGGGCTATAAAATGAGATCAAAGCCAGGCTGAACCATACAGTGAAACACTGCCTCAAAAAAGACAGAAACCAAAACAAACAACAGGTTCTAGATTTTTGTAATAATACTTAAAGAAAAAAATACAAGGAAATGTCCCTCAGACCATTAAAGTGGTTACCTCTGATGCTGAGAATAATACCACTTTCTCTGTTTTGTTAGCATTTATGCTGTAATGTTTGCATCTTTCATAGTGAGCATAAATGTTTTAGTGGAAACAGTAATAAAGACAGAAACATTGATTTTAAAATAGTGCTTACGATCTTGTAAATCCTATTAAGGCTGATGTAGAAAGTCCTGTTTATGTTCTGTTCCTTAAAATTTACTGGTGCAGACCCAGTCCTCCTGTAAGCGGGGAAACGTCAGACGGGCACTCCACAGCAGGGCTGAGGAGGCTGGGAAGGACATGCCGGCCTCTGCAGCCCTTCTTGTCATTTCATTTGCAGGTTCCGCTGCAGACGCTCTGGATGGGGAGTACTGTGAAGCTCCTGGACTTCATAGAAGTTAACAGTTCAGTCCTTGCCGGTACTAACTTTTGAATAGCTGACACAGATGATCTTTTCACTACAATTTACTTGAAAATATGTCTGTTTTTACCACAGGTTACATTTACTAAAAATAAGCATTTTTACACTGTAAATTTTTGGGTATCTCCAGGTGCTGCAGAATTGCTTGTCCTACCTTATCTCCTTTCCTGTGTTTGCTAGGGTAGCCTCAGTGCCCAGCCGAGTTCCCTGCAGAAGGCAGTCCTGCTAGCTGGCAGGCCCTGGGGGTGGGGGAGTCAGGGCAGGTTGGAGACTCTCAGGTAGAGCAGAATTCCTGTCTTATTTAAGCTGCGACTTCCTGCATTAAGCTTTTCTGGGACTGCGGTGTGACTGGTTAATTTTATCCTAGTAAATACCACAGTGAGACTGTCCGGTAGGGAAAGTGCAGCCCAGAGTATAGCTTTCTGTGCCCTGGCTCCTTCTGAGGCCTGTGGGTGCACCTCACAGGGTGAGGAAGAAAGATGAGCCGCAGTTGGCGCTGCTGAGCCCAGGGGTCCAGGAAGCCAGGCTTGTTTGGGTGGGCGTGGAGGGCAGCTTAGGTCCTAGCATGCTTAAATCATAACATGGTGGCTGGCTTTTTCCCTTATCCAGCAGCACAGAATGTGCAGATTGAGCATTTTAGCTGAGCCCTGGGAGGCTGAGGGAAGAGGGGCTGGAAGCTTTGTGTGTGTGGAACATGTTTGTTTGGGCCTGTGATGTGCACAGAGTGCCATGGCTCCCTCATGGATTTGAATGACATCAGCAAATGTGACCTTTCCAGTGTGAGGACCGCCTCCCAAGATGTTTTCATATTTTTAAAAAGTAGCATGAAGCTGCATACTTTCTCTCTACTAATTTTCTCTCTCTCATATCCCCTGCCCCCACCCATCAGACCCAAAGTTCCCAGGACAAGCCGCCATCCCAGGATCCGTCCTGTACCATAGACAGTCCCAGACACTGCTCGTCTGCTGTAAGGTACGTCTTCCTTTAGTTTCGAATTAGCCATGTTTGTTTTGCTGAGTTTATAGTTTATATCTTTTGAATTAGAGCTTTACTGACCTGGCTGCCCATCAGATTGGACAAATACAATTAGTTAAATTTTTTTGAGACAGATTTTCACTATGTGATTTAGGCTGGCCTCAAACTCTTTTGTGTAGCCCAGGTTGGCCTCAAACTTGTAATGATCCTCTTATCTTAGCCTCCTAAATGCCGGGATTACCAGGCTTATGTCGACACACTGGGCTGGTTTAATTTTGTTAAAATATTAAACGGAACGTCTAGCATGCTTTTTTATTCTTAGTAATCCAATTTTATGCTTAGTTAAAAAAATGTCATAGCAAAGTATCTGGCTGAATCACTGCACATCATATACGCTACTTGCTTTTTCTGTTCAATGGTAGATTTAAATCTGCTGAACAATTTAAAATGACTTGGTTTTCTAAGTCAGTGGTGTGTTCCTGAGCAGTGTTCTGCACGCCTTCCGTTTCCTGAGTATTGTCAACGTGGTGCTCATGCAAGATGACACACACACAGGAGGGGGTTTAAAAACCTCAGAGCCTGGAGACGCAGGGTGCCCCTTCATCTTCCTCAGCCTCTCCTGGATCAGTGTTGGGTGTGCCCTCCTTGTCTGGGTCTCTGTGTATTTCCTGTCTGCAGTTTGCCCTCATAAAAGAAGTGGGCTGATTCCAATGTGGATTTGGGTTGTCTTAACTTGGGGAAAAAATTCTCGCGCCTACTGGGGCATCATTTCCTTTTCTAAAATGGAAATAGTACTGGATCTGCTGCCTTTTAGATTTGTTGTTTTCATGAACAGTCCCAGTGAGAGACAGACAGACTGGAAACTGAAGCACTGTGCAAATCAGCAGCTTTTTATTCTCCTCCCTCCTCTGTGGAAGTAGGTTTGTACAGGTCTGTGTATTTGCCATCTCTCTTTGGTAATAAACTTTTAGAATCAAGGAATCATGTATGTTATTTTCTATGCTGCTCTTTGCAGTTAGGCACTTAGTGAAGATTTGTTTCCATGATGAAAATTTTATGAACTAAAATGTACTTAGTTTTCCTGTTTTGCCACCACTGCCTGATCACTATTGTCCTTTCCTCCCCAGGATGGCTGGATTGGTGTCCGATCCGTAATGCTTAAGAAAACACTAACAGCTACAGATTTCTACAATGGATATTTGCACCCGTGGTACCAGAGAAATTCTCAGGCTCAACCAGTGCAGTGCAGATTTCAGACTCTTAGACTTCCTACCAAGAAGAGACAGAAAAAAAATTGTTGCTATGCAACAGTGCATTAAGTAGTTAGGAAGAGGACAGATAAGAATCTATTACATATTTGTAATGTATTAAAAACCTTATTTACAAGGAACTACCTTGTCTTTCAAAGAAGATGACTCAAAGAGGAGATTGTTGTCAAAAAAGATGGATCGCTTCACTTTCCATTTTTTTGTTTAGTAATCCTTAAAAGCAGCCTTTTCTACTTACTTAACAAAAGAAGCTTAAATAAATTTGTATTTATAATGTCACATTCAAGGAGGTAATATTTTTTCTAATGAACAAGAATACCTGGGATGTGTATATTTTAAGGGATTTTCTTTTAAAAAGGGTGCATCTGTTGAATTTTTAAAGCCTGTGTTCTCTGGTTACGTTATTATTTGGGGAAGATCTAATCTGTGTTCCTAAATTTCATTAAGTAGTGAAGTCAACTCTTTAAATTCTTCTGCCATCTAGATCTCATCAAATAGTAAACATAGATAAGGTTTGATAATCTCTGCCATGTTGATGTGTACTGTAAATTCACATGAAGCCTCAGAGCTTTCTTGCTGTAGGAAAATGTAATGCTTTTCATGTTTTTTGCAGTGAAAGTTATTGAGCTCCAGGTCTGCAAGTGCATCTGCTCTGTCTGCAAGAAAGCAGTTGAGAAAGAGTTGTGGCACTGCTGTTTGGTTGAGAGTCTGTCTATTTATTTATTTTGGAGACAGTGTATCACCATGTCTGGCCATAAATTTACTGTGGCCATAAATTTACTGTGTATTCAGGCTGGCCATAAATTTACTGTGTAGCCTAGGCTGGCCTCCAACTCACAGCAGTCCTCCTGTCTCAGCTTCTTGAGTGGTGGGATTACAGGAGTGTGCTATCACCATGCCTGGCGTTTGAGTCTTTTTGTCAGCCTTTCCTGCCTACAGTTTATCTGTTCATTCCAGTGTTCACTGGTAAGGTGATCTAAATTAGGACAGTTTCATGAGTAACAGGAAGTGTTTAGGATAATTCCCTCCACACAGAAGGCAAAGGCTGGACTCTCAGACAAACCAGGCAGTCTAGGCATCATGGTTATGGAGCACTTAAGAGTAACTGGCCTCCATGCTGATTGCTAGAGATTCAGAGATTAATATTTGGCATCTTTTTTTTTTTTTAAGAGGAAAAAGAGAAAAACACAAAACAAACCAAAGCGGTGTAAGGGTACACGTAATACAGAACTACAAAAAAACAAAACAAAACAAAAAAAAAACAAAACAAACAAACAAAAAAAAACATAACAGTAAGAAATCACCTGTTAGTATATTACATATTATCATCTTGAAAATAGTTCCTCAAATCACAGTATCAAAGAATACAAGGTGGACATTCAAACAGGTAGACTGCAAACAGCTGTGTTCAATGATCCAAAAACATTGATACAGTCAGCTATTTAACACCCCTAAACATACTTGCTGTTATATCCGTTAGAGCTCTTTTTCTTTTTTTTTTTTTCCCCTCTCTTTTTTACAACAAAATTCACGCACTTTGGATTTTATTACTCCTTAGTGCTTATTACTTTTTTTGGGGGGGGGGGGAAGAATACAGTCAAATATGGCAAAACAAAGCTGTCAGTCAATACCAAGGATAGACATAGCACATGATGTAGAACAGAGTACAAGTTTATCAACAATGGTTATCAACGTCCCTTGTTTCCTTAAAAAGACTTGTCTATCTCATTAGATATTATAAAGTTGGACAAAACAGTAGAGAACAAGACCAATAAAACTTAGGCATTGTAAACATTACAGGACTTCCAAAGAAGACAATAGTCAAACCAGAATGGGTATCTTAGTGAATCTTATTGTCTTCAAAGTAGTTGCCTATGTCTTCAAACTTGATACTACCATATAGAATGGAACAGAGTCTAATCAGTCAAAACAAGATCATGGGAGTACTACAGGACTTCAAAACAAGTTAATAGGAAATCAAAAAGAGTTATTATTTATATATCCTAATTTTTTGAATTTTTTCTTTAATTAAGACAAACATAAGAAATGACTAAATAATTTTTTTAAAACAATAAGGGGGAGATTGAGATAAAACAGGACATAACAGTATAACAATAGAGGTCACAGCATGACTGTTTCAACAACCTAGTACTTCACCACCATATAACCTGACTTAATAGTAGTTACCATAGTGTCTTTTTCCTTGATATATTTGGATAAAACTTCATATACTATAGCTTCAAATATTTTCAAATCAAGAAGCCCAGAATAAAGCCTTTCTAATTAATGAGTGAAAACTTTATAAGGCTCCAAGGCCACCTAATGGGGAATCATGATTACCACATATTTTTATATATTTGAATCATTACTTACATTAGGGAAACTATTCGGTATTCACACATGCGAGATTGATTTATTTCACTTATGAGTATGGTCTCAAGCTGCGCCCATTTATTGATAAATATCTCAATGTGATCCTTCTTTATAGCTGAATAATACTCCATTGTATAGAAATACCACAACTTTTTTATCCATTCCTCAGCTGATGGACACTTGGGTTGTTTCCAAGATCTGGCGATTACAAATTGTGCTGCTATAAACATAGGTGCACATATATCACTGTGGTATGATGCTTTCAGTTCTTCTGGGAATATGCCTAGAAGTGGAATAGCTGGAATAAATGGGATTTCCAGTCCCAACTTTTTGAGAAATCTCCAGACAGATCTCCACAAAGGCTGTACCAGTCTACACTCCCACCAGCAGTGCAGGAGAGTTCCTTTTTCCCCACAGCCTCTCCAGCATTTGTTGTCGGTTTTCTTGATCCTTGCCATTCTTTCAGGAGTGAGATGGTATCTCAGTGTGGTTTTAATTTGCATTTCTCTAATGACCAATGATGATGAGCATTTTTTCATGTATTTATTTGCCATTTGCATTTCTTCATCTGAGAATTGCGTATTCATCTCAGATGCCCATTTTTGGATTGGATCTTTGAATTTTGGAGGTCTGAGTTTTTTTAATTCTTTATATGTTTTAGACAAGAGGCCCTTGTCTGAGAGAGAGTTCACTAAAATCTTTTCCCAGTTTGTGGGTTTTCTTTTCACTATGCTGGAGTTTTCTTTTGACATGCAGAAACTTTTTAATAAGAAGTGGTCCCAGTTATTGATTCTGGGAAGTATTTCCCGTGCGGTTTGAGTCCTGTTCATGAATTCTTTACCTACTCCTATGTCTCCAAGGTTTCTACCTAATTTGTCTTCCAATAGATTTAGTGTTTCTGTTTTAATATTCAGATCTTTGACCCATTTAGATTTTAATTTAGTACATGGTGATAGACATGGGTCTAGCTTCAGCTTTCGGCAAATGGAGAGCCAGTTTTTCCAGCACCATTTATTAAAGAGACTGTCATTCTTCCAGTGAACCTGCTTGGCTCCTTTATCAAAGATAAGTTGGTTGAGTGTGTTCGTAGTTGTGGTTGTATCTTCTAATCTATTCCACTGATCTTCGGCTCTGTTTTGATTCCAATACCATGTTGATTTTACTACTGTTGCTTTGTAGTATAACTTCAAGTCAGGGATTGTGATGCCTCCTGCTTTGTCTTTGCTGCTTAGAATTGCCTTTGCGATTCTAGGTCTCTTCTGGTTCCAGATGAAATTTAGGAGTGATTTCTCTAGATTTATAAGGTGTGTTGATGGTATTTCTATTGGGATTGCATTGAATCTGTATAACAGTTTTGGGAGAATGGCCATTTTCACAATGTTTGTTCTTCCTATCCATGAGCAAGGGATGTCTTTCCATTTTCTGAGATCATCTTCAATTTCCTTTTTCAGTGTATTATAATTTTCACTGTATAAGTCTTTCACTTCTTTCGTAAGAGTAATTCCTAAATATTTCATTTTTTTGCTTGCTAATGTGAATAGTCCAGTTTCTCTTATTTCCCTCTCTGTAATTTTGTTGTTCGTGTATAGGAATGCTATTGATTTCTGAGTATTGATTTTGTATCCAGCCACATTACTGAATTTATTTATTGAATATTTGGCATCTTCAACCTAATGGGGAGGTGAACACATCCCAGGTATAAATGCTGTGATGAACACATAACGGAAGTGCTAATGGCCTTTGGGCAGCCAGTGGAGACTTTCCACAGGAGGTAAACTGAAGCTCCAGAGGGTGAGTTCACTAGGCAGATTAAGAGTGGCAGCTTAGCACGAGCAGATACATAGAGGCTTTAAGAACACTTATCTTTTTTTCTTTTTGTTGAGCACTTGCTGAGACAAGGTCTTGCTGTGTAGTTTAGATTTGACCTTGAACTTGCTGTGTAGCCCAGTCTGACCTCAAACTCACAATCTTCCTTCCTCAGTCTTCTGAGTGCCGGGATTTTAGGCACACACCACCAAGCTCGGGAAATGGTACTCTCACAAGGGGTCTTAGAGATGGTGATTCTTCATTTGGATGAGGGAAGCATGACTGCTCTTCTGTTGCTGTTCTTGATTATTACGGTTTGTGTCTTGATGTACCCTCCAAAGCCTCAGGCAGTCATGGGGGGCTTTCAAAGGTAGCTGAAACTAGAGTTTGTGATTGGTTCATTGTCTAGTGCTGGGATTGGCAGTGTGAGTGCTATACCCGCTGCCTGCCTGCATACAGTATAAGAAAGTAAAAGAGGCATACTGTCCCCACCTCTTGTTCTTGTTGCTTTGCTATCTTCTGCTGCCTGGAAGTATTGCCCTATGCCATGCTAGCCTGCCTTGGAGCTAGCTGATTATGGACTGAAACCTCCACAAACTGTGAGCTAAATAACATTTTCCTTCCTTCATTTTGGGCATCAGGTATTTTGTCCCAACAACAAAAGAAAAGTAACCAAGCTACAATTTGGTGCTGATAGTGGGGTCATTGCTGTGACTATGCCTAACCATGTGGTTCAAGAATCTTTGGGAAAGTTTGGGAAGGTTCAAAGATGTCACCTGAAAGAGTAGCACTGGAACAGCTCAGGTTGTTCTGTACGGGAGATTCTGATCAGAGCTCAGAAGACCAGAAGGCTGATATGAATCCTGCCAGTAAAGACCAGGCTTGAGAGGTTTGTGCTGAGGGTTACTGCATTGGGTGCTAGACTCCAGATGATGTGTTATAATTTGGCAAAAAGTTTGTCTCTATTTTGCTCATGTTCACAGACTTTTTGCCTGAGACTTAAGATTAAGGGTAGTGGACTAATCAATCTGGTAGAAGAAATTTCAAGACAGTCTAATGTTGAGGCATGGCTAATGTTGGGGGCCTTTAGCCAGATCTTT